TCAGAGCGCGGCACAGAACGCCACGACAATGAGCGCCGTTTGCGCGGAAAAGAGCGGAAATGAAAGCATTTTTGGCGACAAAACGGATATTGTTTTCGATTCCGTTCCCAAGAATCGAGAGAATCGCAAGAATCGCGAGACTGCGCGCAAAGAAGACAACAACTCATGAATTACGTCAGCATTTATTGACAATACAAGAGTTGACTTCCGGTTCGCCGAACAGGAAGTGCGCGATCAGAGGCTCTGCGCGCGCGTCCATTCCGTTGACGACCAGAACTGCGGACAGAAAGAAGTCAAATCACGTGACGACAAAACCAATCAAAAGACAAACCGTTTGTTCGGAAAAAACCGAAACTTTCTTTCCGTTTGTTTAGCGAAAAGACAATCAGTTTTCGGTCCGAAGAAAGCGCGAGACTTTCCAGATTTTCGAGCGCCGCGTCGGCCGCGAACCACACGACTGCGCAGTCGCGCCACTCGGAGGGCGTGTCCGCAAACGCAAAGTCGGCGTCGGTGGGCGTGTCGGCGCTCTCCCAGCGCGTGAAGTGTCCGCCGACGCGCGCGAAACAGTGGAAGGATTGCGCGAACACTTGGAGGAAGTCTTTGATTGTCATGGCGTCCAAGAGGTCCGCCTTTCGGCGCCCTTTCGTCTGCAGAGCCGCCAAATACTTGCGTTGCGTGTCGAGATGGGGGTCGATGTGGACGAGGAGGGGTCGGAGGCGGCGGTCGGGCGTCGCTATGGAAACCAAAGCGCGTCTCAAACGATGCATGAAATTGACGTCAATTTTCAAATGGTTTTTCTCGCAGTAATAGAGCGACAGTTGTCTCGCGAAACACGAATCCGTGGACGCGATGGCCGCCAATCGGGTCGCGAGAGTGCGCCGCAGGAGTCGATTGTTGGGAAAGCGAGAGATTGTCTGCGGAATTGCGGCCAAAAAGCGGTCTTCGGGAAGCGCTTCGAGAAGTCTTCGCCAAACGTAGGCATTGCGGCTCCATTTGGTGTTAAGGGCGCGCATCCAGAGGTCGGGCGGCAGAAGAGTCGTCTCCAACGCCGACAACACGTCTTCGAGGCGCGACTCCGGACTCCGAAGCACTCGAATGCGTCGCTCGGCTGTCGTCAGAGTGTCGTCGCAGTCGTCGTCGATTCGCAGAAGGAGTCGAGTGACGCGATCGGTGGACGGAATGTGCGCGACACGGATGACGTCCCGATGAGACCAGTCTTTGGACACAACTATTGTTTAACAAAAGGTTTCAAATGTTTCGCGAATTACCGAATTGTTGGCCGAAGACGAGCATTGTCTCGACGTGTAGGTCGTCGAAGTCGCGGCCGTAGAAGCGGCGCAACGCGTGGCGAACGGCGCGCGAAGAGGAGATCCCTTTGCGGCCAATGAGAGCGCAGAAGAGGAAGACGTCGGTCACGTGGATGAGAGGGGAGGCGCAGAGGAGGGCGACGGCGAGCGCGCGAAAGGGCGACTGTTGGGCGCCGGGAGTCTGACAGCGGAAGAGCGCCACCAGAAGCCGCGGCAAAGCGTTGGGCGCGATATCGGCGCCGACTTTGGCGACGATTTCGTTGACTCTTTCGGCGAATTCTTGGCGAGTTTTCTCGTCTTTGTTTTGGAGGAAAAGCCAAAGATTTTGAACGCATTTAAGCGGAGATTCGACGGCTTTGCGGACTCTTTGGTCGAAAGGGCGGAGGAATGCGTTGAAAGAAGACTTGCGGTCGAAGTGAACGGCATTTAGTTCGCTGTTTGTCCGCAGGAAGCGATCGATTCGCGAGAGTTCGCGGCAAACGCCGCACAAAGACGTCATCACAACAACAGTCACACGAATTACGTCTCAAAACACATGACTCGCGATGAATGAAGAGATTCGCGCGCTTTCGACGGCTTTGTCGCAAATCCGCCAATTGGTGGCCAAACAGCGGTCGCGCGCCAACTATGCGGTCGCGCCGGAAGTGCCCAAAGAGCAGGAAATGCGGGTTTTCCGCGATCTGGACGTTGAGCTCGCGATTGGACGGCCGGAGAGTCACGTGTTTGAGCGGAAAGTGGTTGCCGTTGACGACAGACGCGCCGAAGGACCCGATTGGCGGACGACGGCGTCGGCGGTGGGCGCGTCTGACGCCAAGAATAGACGACACGCGCGACGAGACGTCAAGCGATTTGTTTGCGTTTTGAGAGACGAGACGACAGACGACGCGAAGAGACGACAGAAAAAGAGTGTCGTCGGCGACATCACATCGACGACATGTCGTGACATCACAAGGCGTGACGTCATGCCGAAGACGAGTGCGAAGAAGACATCGATAGCGAAGTTGAGGCCAACGACCGCTGAGAGATCACAGAGCGAGAGGTCCGCAAAGACGGCGTCTCCAATGGCAACGGCGGACGAGTCGGTGGAGAATCGCGTTCAGCGGCTGTTGGAGAGCGCCGTCCGCGAGGTTCCCGATTGGGAGACACTTTTCGGTCGCGTTTACGGCGAGAGAAGCGCTTTGTCGCCGCAAATGGCGACCAAAAGCGCCAAAGCGATGGAAGTCTTTCCCAAGAGTCGCGTGACGTCACCGCCAGACCCGCCGTCGCCTCAGGAGCGCGTGTCTGCTCTCCGGCGCGAACTCAACCTCTCATTGGACGACATGTCGGGTCACATGAGCGCCGTTTCGCCCAAAATGTCTGACTGTTTTCGTCTGACGTCAGACTTGGAAGACATGGCGACAGACGACGACACGGACGACGTCTCGACCCTTAAGTCGGAAGTCATGGAAACGGAAGCGGAAGTCGACGTCCGGAAGTTCGTGACCGACGAGTGCGCGCGCCTCCTGGCGGCCGACGACTGTCGCAAACCTCCGAAGCCTTCGCCGCGCGACTCTTTCCGCGCCCTTCTTTTCGATCTGACGGCCGAAGCGCTGCGCGAAGAGTTGCGGACAAAGATTCCTCGTCCGACGCATGCGCTGAAGGAGGCGGTGGTGGTGCGCGCGCTGCAGTGGTTGCAGCCGAAGACAACGCTTCCCG